CCCCAAACAAATCCTAAATCTCAACACCTCTGCACCCATTTCCCCCTTACCCCCAACTTACCGTAGTGCTCTCAAGGATCCAAACTGGCATGCTGCTATGTGTGATGAATATAATGCTTTGATCAAGAATGACACATGGGAATTAGTACCCCCCTCCCCCACACAAAATATCATCACCGGTAAATGGCTCTTCAGACACAAACTTGGCCCTTCAGGTGAGTTAACCAGGTATAAGGCCCGACGGGTTGTTCGTGGCTTTAATCAGCGTTTTGGCGTCGACTACGGTGAAACGTTCAGCCCCGTTATCAAGCCTGCCACTGTCCGCGTCGTCCTTAGTCTTGCTCTGTCTCGCGGTTGGCCCATTCATCAGCTAGATGTCAAAAATGCATTCCTCCATGGCCAGCTTCAGGAAACCGTGTATGCCAGTCAGCCGTCTGGGTTCCAGGATGCCAAACGCCCTCATCATGTCTGTAAGCTCAAAAAGGCCTTGTACGGCCTCAAGCAGGCACCTCGCTCATGGTATCACAGGTTTGCAGGTTTCATTCAGACTAAGACTATTGGGTTCCAAGGGTGCAAGTCTGACACGTCCCTCTTCACTTTCTCTCATGCCGCGGGCACGGCCTATCTCTTACTTTATGTCGACGACATCGTTCTCACTGCCTCTTCACCTGCACTCCTTCAGAGCATCATTCGGAAACTCAAGGCTGAGTTTGCCATGACAGACATGGGCGACTTACATTTCTTCCTCGGCATCAATGTCCATCGCACCTCCACTGGGATGTTCCTCCATCAGACTCAGTTTACCCATGACATCCTCGAGCGGGCTGGGATGGTCTCCTGTCGTCCCATCTCTACACCAGTGGACACAAAGGCAAAACTATCCTCCTCAGCTGGGACGGCCCTTCCTGATCCGACGTTGTACAGGTCTATTGTTGGAGCTCTGCAGTATCTCACTTTTACTCGACCTGACATCACTTATGCCGTCCAGCAGCTTTGCCTTCACCTCCATGCACCTAGGGACGTGCATCTCACGGCCATGAAGCGGATCCTCCGCTACCTGCAGGGCACGGCCACCTAGGGCTGGGTTGGAAAAACCGAAAACCGCAAACCGAACCAAAATCGATCGAAACGAGCTAGTAAAAAAACCGAACCGAAAAAAACGAAACCGAATGTAAAAAAACCGAACCGAACCGTTAGTATTTGGTTCCGTTTTGGTTTTCACTTTGAAAAACCGAACCAAACCGAATAAACCAAACTTTTTTAGATACTTCACTTTATTTATATGAATATATGTGATATGTAGAAAAATCATAGACATATAAATGCAAATAAATTACTAGTCGATTTAAATTATTTTCTCATCTATTAATTAAATATTCTAGCCATATTATTATAAACTTTAAAAAACTTAAGAATATATATGAACACCAATAGTAATCCTAATATAGAATCATATTAAGATTAAAAATTGATACACGTAATTTACATATTTACATAAAAAATACTTTGATGTTATAATGAAATTGAAAGTATTATACAAAAAATATAAATTCTTCATAATTGATTTTACATACGATATCTTCGGAAGTATTTAGAATCTTCTAAATGTTTGTTGGTACTCCATACATCTTTTTTATGTAAAAATAAACTAAAAGGAGCAATAACCTTCTGTTTGGTTTTTTGTTTTTGTGTAAAAATCAAACAAAAAAACCAAAGCTAACACTACATATTTTTATTGTTTCATCGAGTTAGTGTTTTATAATTTTTTAATGCTTATAAATTTATACTTTTATAAACCGAAAAAACAGAAAAAAACCGAAATAAAAACCGTAAAAAACCGAACCGAATAACCAACGGTTTTCATATTTTTTATGCAAAACCGAACCGAACCGCCAATTTACCTTCCGTTTTGTGTTTGGTTTTGGGTAAAAACCGAACCGCCAAAACCGAACCCACCCCTACGGCCACCCATGGCATTCATCTGACGCCATCCACTACAGACTCTTTGCAGGCCTACTCTAATGCAGACTAGGCTGGATGTCCTGACACTAGACGCTCCACCTCTGGTTATTGTGTCTTCCTAGGCGATAACTTGGTCTCCTGGTCATCCAAGCGCCAGGCCACTACCTCCCGATCCAGTGCCGAGGCCGAGTACCGGGCTGTGGCGAATGTCGTAGCTGAGACTTCGTGGATCCGCAACCTTCTCCTTGAGCTACGGCAGCCACTCAGACGTGCCACCCTTGTTTTCTGTGACAATATCAGTGCCGTCTACCTATCATCAAATCCGGTACAGCACCAGCGGACCAAACATGTGGAGGTCGACATACACTTTGTTCGGGACAAAGTAGCACTTGGGCAGGTTCGTGTTCTTCATGTGCCCTCTTCTTCCCAGCATGCTGACATCTTCACCAAAGGCCTACCGTCCCTGCTCTTCCTCGAGTTCAAATCCAGCCTAGGCGTCCGACCTCCTCCACATCCGACGTAGCCGGGAGCATGCTAAATATATTAATTATATTTAATTATAGTGTTACCACACTTGTATAGGTTTCCTAATGTGGCTCTCCTACTATGATTAGGATTGAAGCCTCTAGTATATATTGATGTATTCTCTACACAATTATTCAATGAAAATATTCTTTCTACACATTTAAATAGTAAAGAATTGTTTATTTGAGTCATACCACTCATACGTAAGTCCATGTGGACCTTAGGTACACCATAGAATTGTTGATAAACTGCTGATAAGCTAATCTTAGTTTCTGCATTTTTACTCTGCCAATCCTATATACAGCACTTTTTTGCTAACCACAGTTTCTCAGTTTTTTACTTCAATTTAAAAAAAAAAGAAAGTTGTTGAAAAGTTGTTGTTTTACTACCCTTGCTGCCAAAAAAAACTGGTTGCTATATCCTTATCGACTTATCGTTGATGCAAAAGTATTCTTTTCCCACTAACACACCTTGTTCAAAAGTGTTATTGCCTGTTGGAACAACTTTCTAGAGCTTCCTCAGTCTTTTTTTGAGGCAATTAGCTCTAAGCCATGTGTTAAGGGGGCTTGACGGGTATTATCGGTTTCAAATTTAATTGGTTTCGGATCTAATTGGTTTCGACTTTAAATAGGGTATGGATATATTTAGTTCGGTTTTGATTCGGTCCGGATCATTTCGGTTATTCGGTTATAAATCGAATCTTCTTTTTTCGGATTATTTCGGTTTCGGTTTTGGGTCATTCGGTGCTGGTAATTGGTTCTAGGTCTATTTTCCAGGTCTAATAGATACATGTAAAGGTCAGGGCCATTGTAGTCATTTTATGTTAAACTAATCTCCAAAATAGGGAAGAGGAATACATTAAGGATTCTAACAGTCTAATTGTATACCACTGCTCCATAGTAACTGTACTCCTCAGCCAACCTCTGGCTTCCTTTGACAACAAAAAGGCGAGTCGATTCGGCAATAGGCATTCTAATTTTCAGGATCTTTTTTTTCCTTGTTGGTTAAATGCATCTGTCTGCTTCTAACACACTGAACACAATCCCTTAAGGGTTTGGTTGCTACTCATTCTTTACTATAGAAAATAATTGATAATAAAAAGAAATTCAAGAATTAGAGGGGGCTTCAATCCCCATTTGCACCCTAGTCATTTAAGCATTCCATCATCTTTTGCAGTTGCTCATTCTCCGAATTTAATTTAGCCACTGGCATTTCTTTTTCATTTCCCATAATATAAGCTACCTATTATAAGATGGAGTATTTCTTTACTTGACTCAAAAGCTAAAGTCATCTGTTAAATGACTTTTTGGATGATTATCCTTCCAGTTTATATCAGAAGAATTAGACTGAAAATAATTGCTTTCCCTCATGCATTTGCATTGCATTGGCCATTGCTCTTTTTATTACTCAAATTTTTGTCAAATAATGTTGAAGTTATCTCATAATGGAAATGTGTGAGCTTGAAGCTGCTCCCTTGATAAGATATTCAAAATTTTGTTATTATTTCATATGTATAATATAATGAATTTTTCACTTTGCAGATGACGGGATCTGATTGCAAAATCAATGGAAGTAAGATCGTGCCTTGTAGAGGTAGGAAGACAAGAAGGCACATAGGTTCTTTTATCCCTGCAGATCTTGTATTGAACATCCTCCTTCTCCTGCCCGCAGATGTTATTTATGGGATTATGCAATATGTTTGTAGGGAGTGGTATAACATAGTGCGAAGCCCGACATTTGTTTCTTCCCACCTCCAAAAATCAACTGGTGGTGCCTTCCTACTTCAGACAGCCATATCTCATCCGAGGTATTTTCTGAGAATGGGCAAATGTGATGATATCGAGCTTGTGGAGGCAAAATTTCCACCCTTTCGTGATCTTGCATCCAGTTGTAATGGATTAGTGCTGATGGTTCATTTAAATTGCAGAGAGTTGCATGTTATTAATCCTGTTTTAAAGCAGCAGCTAACCCTCCCTCCACACCCTAATAATTTTGTCGCCAGGAAATTCAGCAATCTTGTATATGCTGCTGCATCTGGAGTGTACAAAGTGGTAGTTTGCACTAGCTGGGGTTGTCCAACTGTATTAACTGTGGGGGATAAGGAATGGAGACCCCTTCAGAGAAGCTGCTTACTTAATAGTATTGTTGGCAATTTGTCTATAAATCGCCCTTTATCCCTGGGAGGTTTTCTTTACTGGGTTTCAGAGTGTGCCGCATTTGTCATAAGCTTTAACGCTGAAGCTGAGACATTTCAAGAGATTCCGTTTCCACAAGGCTGCACGAGTGGGTCTCCAGTGACATTGATAGAAATGGGGTGCTTTCCTTGCCTGATGCGGTGGAAAGAAACATTGATATGGGAGCTCTGGGTGTTGAGGGATAATGAAAATGCACGGTGGGAGAAGACGACGTCGGATGTTAATTTACGGGGTCAGAGCAGTTTGATCAAAGTTTATACTGATCGTGACAGATGTTTTTTCCTGCCTTTGGGATGGTTGAAATGTGGCGAGCTGATGGCATTTCTTGCACCATCAGGACAATCAAGAGTCATAGTTTACAGTGTCAGTTTGGGGAAAATTCATTCCATATTACTGATGGAACCCAGAATGCATTATTGCAATGCTTTTTTCGTTCCTCATGTCAATAGCTTGGTGTCCCTCAGCAACTATTGCTCCAGTTGTTGATTCAAGCTTTCTTACTGTTTTATGAATATTAATTTATTTGACAAACTTCTAGCTAGAGTTCTTGTACTCTTGATTTTCTTGCCTTCCCTGGTAGTGTAAACCTAATTAATGTTATTAGGATATGATAAATGAGGTTGAATTATTGTAAACATTGAACCAAGAAGTTGTGAGATCATTATTATAACCTTTTCATGAAGTAGTAATTTCCATGTGTTGCTTGATTAACTATTGAATGAGGCGGACAAATATATCCTCTATATCTTTAGTAAATTTTAAAAAAATGGCAAATCAGGCCAAAATCTTTTAAATTGTTCATCAGTAAGTACGAGAACAACAGCTACATGTATTGGGAAGCCAAGTGCAGTAAAATTAAATGGTTAAACTGCTGCATTCATGCTTTACAAGGAAGTTAAGCAGTTTGATCGGATTTTAACAGGCCTAAGAACCTCCAATGAAGACGCGGCGATAAGAACATTCCAGATGACTTGAACGATTGTCCGTTCATACAGAACTCTGGCCATGTCAGGTGCATTTTAATTTATTCCTTTTGTTTGGATTTCAAAGTGTTAACCCTCATGTTTTGGTTTCCCAAGATGAGTATAATCATTGTAATTCTTTCTTTCTTCTTTCTTCCGATCCCACTAACCAATTTGCAGTAAGATTAGATATATGAGTGGAGTTTAGAGTTTTCTAACCATTTGCTCTGGGATTATTTAATGTTATAATTCTGTAATTATACATAACAGTAGCTCAAAGAATAATGAAAGTCCAAATTTTTTTGACGTTTATCATAACATTCATCGCACTACAAATCGTAATATTCATGCTCAAGCATATGTTTGGCTTTTTTATTCATATTAAATACCAATTTAGGCATAGACTTTGTTTTTAAGTCTTTAATTTAGCTCATGAACGCAGGTCATTTCAAGAGCATTTTTGGCTTCGTTGGTGTCTGTGGATGCTAAAATTGAATAAAAAGAATTTTCAAAACAATTTAAAAATCAATATCACTTGCCTATACCAAGCTAGATCTTGAGGAACTTATCGTCATATTATTATTATCTAGATATCTGATATCATATGAGTTGCTTTCCTAAACATCAGAGTTTTATTTACGTAACAGCCTAATACCAAGCTTGATCTTTAATAGTTAAAAAGAATTTATGCTGCTAATGTGAAGTAAAATGGGCTGATGCAGTCAAGATGAGTTTCAAGACACAATTCAAGCCGAATGCCATTTTACTAGGCCTAAGGTTGATGGACAGAATAATTGTTTGAATGATGGTGCATATGTGAATGTAAGTTTTTAATGTGTTGGCTTGCCATGGCTCGTTTACATTTATATGGTTGATGAAATAGTTTTGCTTATTTAAAATCCAAATCAGATGAAATCCTTATGAAGTAATAAGTTTATGGGTCAGTGGTGAATAATTCAACGCAGTCCTTGATGTAGCAGGTATGCCCTATAATTCTTTTCCTTCTAAGTTTAGTCTGTGCACAACATCATAGTGCATATCCATCTGATTAAGTATACTTTACCCTTAGCAACGCAGAACTGTTTCCGGTAAGCAAATAAGCAATGACTTCTGAAATGGAGAGCTGGGATAATTATATGTTATGTTGACTTATATTTAATTTTATAGAGCATTTAAAGTATGTTTCTTTGTAGTATGACAGTAGGTACTGCTCTTATATGCTCTCTAAGTAGGGGAAGCATGAAAGTGGAAGCATCCCTTGGAGATTCGATCATCTGTATTTTTTTCAAATCAGTTGCCTCTTCATCTAACTCTATAGTCTCCTTATTGCCTGACATTATCACAATTGATCATCACATTCAGGCTAACAACAAGCATTTGTAATCCATTTCTGATATTCCTAACTACTTCCGTTAATCGTCTCTTTGTAATCAGCTCAATTGTATAAAACACCCAACATACTTGCATTGAGGGTATGAATTGATGATCAAATCTTTTTTCTCTCATTCCTTCTTCCCAATTCTTCACTTCTCTGTTAATTCAAACTTCTTGGTGATTCCCTGGGATTGAATGTGTGTTCTTCAAAATCCCCCACTTCCTAGAATGCTATCTTAGATTTTTTGGTATTATATATAAATAACGATTTACTCCCTCCGTCCCCTTGTATTTGTCCACATTTGACTTTTGGAACTGTTCATCTAAGCACTTTGACTCATCAAATTCTCTCAATGTGTAAGCCTAAATATAGTCATGTGTAATCTTGTTTGATTTGTCTTAACATATAGATTATTAATATATAATTTATTTAATTTTTTAATATACAAATTACAAGATAAAATGGATTAAAGAAATGCATTGGATGGTGTGTAAAAATGAAAGTGGACAAATAAAGGGGGACGGAGGGAGTATTAAGAAACTGCCTTTGATGAGTAGTTAAAGGGCTCCTACTGTGGCTGTTATTGTTAATAGTGGTAAAAAGGTAACATAAAGTAAGATGTGGTGACACGTGCAATCTTCTTCGAGATTCTCTGGGATTTGAATGTGTGTTCTTTGAAAACTCCCATTTCCTAGAATACTATCTTAGATTTTTGGTATTATAAATAAAGATGAGCAAGTAAATATTCATTAAGAAACTCCCTTTGATGAGTAGTTCTTTCATATTTAGTGTTAGTAAAAGATTTTTTACCGTGGTTACTATTGACTGGTTGTTATTAGTGGTAAAAGGGTAACATAAAGTAAGATGTGGTGAGTGGTGACACGTACAAGTTTGAGAGAATATCATTAGTTTGATAGAATAAGATTAAATTACATCTGAATCAAGATGAATCAAAGCATCAATCTAGCCATTTCCTCAAAGATCAATACCCACCAAGATTACAGCTACTAAGAGATGGTAAAAAAAAAAGTGTTAGAAGTTGTAACAATGGCCAAGAGAAATAGAAGGGAACAGGAAAATAATAGAGGGAGAGTGGAGCAATTTTTCTATATTTTATTCCAAAGGCCAACATAACAATTTATAGGGAACAATCCTAGTAATCAGGAAGAAGTTGCTGGAAATATGGGCATCCCCATTACCTCCACTATTTTAGCTAACTAAATCAAGACTAATTCAAATAAAGCTGATGTGCAATGCTGGAAATATGGGCATCCCCACTATCCCCATTATTTTAGCTAACTAAACCAAGACTAATTCAAAAAAAGTAAATGTGCAAAGACTGATTCAACAAAGGCTAGATAAAAAAAATGCAGCTGGAAATAAGGTGCAGAGTGTAATCCTCACTGGTTTGCACAGACATAACAATCCACCCCCCTTGAAGACACCTTGTCCTCAAGGTGAAACTGCGGATAAACACGTGAAAAACGCCATTTATTTTCCCATGTGGCATCCTCGCGAGATTGACCAACCCATTTAACTAAAACCTCTGTTTTGGGCCGATATTTTCCTTTTTTCACCACCCGCTCTTCCAAGACAAGTTCTGGTTGAGGCACCGTTGGGATCTGGACAGGTTCAGTGGCAGGCGGCGGGGATGGTTCCGGAATGGGGCCTTCACTCTTCCTCAATAAGCTCACATGAAACACATCGTGAATTAATGACCCGGGAGGCAATTCAATCCGGTACGCGACCTTCCCTATGCGAGCTAGAATCTTGTAAGGACCAAAAAAACGTGGACTTAACTTAGCCGTAGCCCGAGCAGCCACACTTGTCTGGCGGTACGGTTGCAATTTGATGTATACATGATCCCCCACCTCAAACTCCAGTTCACGCCGATGTCGGTCCGCAAAAAGCTTCATGCGGCTTTGGGCCTTGAAAAGATTGGCTCGCAAAGCTTTAAGCATTATGTCTCCGTCTTGAAGATAGTCGTCAACAGTATTATAGCTATATTCCGCCCATGGTAGCCATTCCACCCACTTCTTAGGCTTGTCACCAACAAAGCAGCGTAAATATTGCTCTAGGACCCGATTTACAACCTCCGTTTGTCCATCCATCCGATTGGGGATGATAGCTAGAGCTCATGCATAAAACCGACCCCTGTAGCTTAAACAAAGCTTGCCAAAAAGAGCTTATGAAAATTTTATCACGGTCACTTATATATATATATATATATATATATATATATATATATATATATATATATCCACCCATGTCTGCTTGCAAAACTTAAATCCACCCACTTCTCAATCCTTATCAATGGTGAACCCACTGGTTTTTTTCAAAATGGAAAGGGGCATCAAACAAGGTGACCCCCTTTCACCAATATTATACGGAGTATATCCTGGGGGTTGAAGGTCTAAGCTAAACCCTTAATCATCATGTAAACTCCAGCTTCATCACACCCTTCAATGCAGGCAGATGTCCCAGGATTAGCCATTTGGCCTTTGCTGATGACTTGATCCTTTTCACCAATGGACACTTTAGAAATCTCCTAAGAATCAAAGGTATTCTTGAATCCTACCTTGCAGCCTCTGGACAAGGAATAAATTATGAAAAGAGCAAATTCTACAGCCCAATCAGGACACCGCCAGCGTCACTTTGTGCAATGGAAAGGGCCTTGAATATGAAGCCAGGACCCAAACCCTTTACTTACCTTGGAGCGCCCATTTGTAAAGGAAAGTTGAAAAAGGACCATTGGATCAAATGGGACACGGTTTGCCTTCCTACGGACCAAGGCGGGTTGGGGATTAGGGGTATCGAGTACGATATCACTTTAATAATAATTCCAAGCCAATGAAAATGATTAAGTCTCGACTCTTCCATAAGAAAAGGATCTCACATTTAAGAAGTGCTAGGAGAATACCATTTGGGTATACTACTAGCCTGTTTTTTAGGATTGAAAAAAAGAGCTAAATATTGGAAGGAATCAAAGAAATTGGAAGAAACTGAGAGAAAATATAAAAAAATTGAAAAAAATTGAAAAGAACTAGAAGAAACTAGAAAAACTTCAAAAAATTAGAAACTTTAAAAAACTTTAAAAAATTTATTTCAAAATTCTTGTTGTTATAAATTATTATTATTATTATTATTATCATCATCATTATCATGTTATCTTAATGAATGTCTTTAAGATACAAAAAAGTATTGTTATTTTTCAAATACAAAAACTACTTTTGCAAGAAAAATAATTACTCCGTATAATATAAAGTTAGCATAAATATAAAAATATGAAATTTTAAAAGTTTTTGTGGTTACGTTGCACCTCAATTTATTTATGCAGTATTTATTATAAATAATATATTTGTAATTATACTTTATATATTACAAGATTTTGTTTTAAATATCAAACATGTCATATAATGTAATCAAACCTATTTTTCTTTCAAGATTAATATTTTATTTTCATTGAAGTCCTATTTTTAGAATAAAGACAGAGAACTTTTTTTTACATTTCTTATGTTTTACTCCTATTTTAGTTTTTTTAATAAATTATTTTGACTTTCAATTTTTTATAAAAATTAGAAAAATTAGATTATTTAAGTAATAAAGGGAAAGGTAAGAGGTCTTATATAAAGTTAAATTAATAAAACATTCTATCTCACTATTTTATCCATAATTTTTAATATAGTTTAACATATTGATATTCTCATGTTTTATCATGTATATATAAATAACAAAAAATTGTCTAATTCATATTAAAAAGTTGAATAAAAAATAATGAGTGTCAATCGTAAAAATAGTAAGATGAAAAATAATAATTTATAAAATAGTTATGAACATAACAGTTACTCCATATAATAATAATAATAATAATAATAATCACGCTAAAAATATATCGTTGTTAGAGTAATTTGTTGGGAGTAGAAAGAGTTTGAAGAAAATGAGAATAGTTGGAAGGAACTGGAAGAAACTGGAAGGAACTGGAAGAAACTGGAAGTTAAGAGTTCAAGCCCTAAAAAACAGGCCCTACATGTACACCAAGTCAAAAATAGACACACAGAGATATTCAATGTCTGTGTACGCATAGATATTAAGTGTCTGTATGTGTCTATTTTTAGTTTAGAGCATAAACAATGGCATGGAAAATTCAGAAATGTCACACGCTGACGTGTCACAGTTCAACTAATTGAAAACGACCTTGTCACGCAGTGGCATCTCAGTAGAGTGGCATACTCTGCAATGGCAAGTCGTCGTTTTTCTCAATGTTTAAATTTTTTTGTCATATTTTAATTAGTCCAAGTATATTTTATTTTTATTTTTTTTACAATTATTTGTATTTTAATGTATACTTTAATCTATATAATTTAATTATTCAAAATTATACTCCGTATTAATTATCAATTTAAATTGGGTAGTCTTGGATATAATGTTAATTTAAAAATATATATTTCTAGCTTTAGAAACAAGGGTTATTAAAGTATGGGAGTTTCGCCTTTTGTAACTTTTTTGATATTTTTTAGATATTTAATATTAAAAATTATTTTTCATATATTTGTATAATAAAAATATGGCTATAAAAATAACAAAATAAGGAATGTTTCTTCTTTTTTCCAAAAGAAAAAGTATGTCTCACACATGCCACAGTAAGGAGAGTTACTCCTTCATGCATAGCCTAACTCAATCGTGTCAAATCCTATGTGGCAAATCGTGGCCGTGGAATAGCACGTCATTGCTTATGCTCTTAGTGTACATGTGGCATATTCCAAGTAGTGTTCAGGAAGTATTTCTCTTCAAATGTATTGAAAATTATGAGTTTCTTCTTATGACAACAAGATGTGTTGTTATTGTTGTCAACTTGTCATAATATGACAATACTTTTAACCAAAGTATCTATGATGTTCTAATCATAAAATTAATACGGAGTAGTTCATTCCCCCCTACCTCCCACTAAACCTATGCCCCCACCCCATGCAAATGAAAATGCATTTGCTTAGTTCAAAATGATAGTCTCTCAACTACCAACATTTGAATAGTACTTCGTCCGTCTCAAAATGTTCTTCTCGATTTAACTGAAACTTATTTTTAAGATTGTGTGAAAAATATTTTAATATTTTAAAAATGTCCTAATCCTCCACCCTCATCAATGACATGAGAGCATGTGATGGAAATAGTCAAATGCACGATCGAATCGACTCCTTTGTTCAATAGATCTAGGAATCGTTTTCGTGCACTAGCCTATTTAGATCTGTCGTCGAAGCCACAGGCATCATTACTTAGATCAACCTTCAATCTTGTCTAATTTGTCCTCGAATTCTCCAAAAATTACCATTTAGTTCTGTGATTGATTTCGTCAGATCCACCTCCATTGAATTTGTCAGATCCGCCATTGATTTCGCCAAGAAAGGGAAGAATGAGAAGATAGAGAAGAAAGGAAGAACGAAGAAATAAAAGAAAAGAAAGAATGAGAAGATAGAAAAGAAAGGGATAAAGAGAAGAAAGGGAAGAGAGAGATGTTGTGGGTATTCAAGTCTTTGGTGCGTAAATAGTTTTTTTAGAAGTGAGAAGATAATTTTAAGATTTGTTAAAAAAAAGAATTGGAAAGAATGTATTAGGACAGAGGAATATAGAGTATTACTCCGTATATATCAAAACATGTAGGGAATATTAATGAGTATTATTGTCTCATACTAGAGTAAAACTACACTTGAGTACCTTTGCCTAAAAACAGGTCTTACTCGACCAATTAAAAATTTTGAAAGGTACAGTTATCATCAACCCTTTATCATCTTCACAGTTGCTAATAAGCACGTATGATCACCAAGAATCCATCTTTTTTAGTTGAAATTGTTCTCTAATAAACTGCACAGCCATTGAGCAGTATATACACTACACCATAACATGTCCTGACCAAATGCTATAAAACCCACCAAATCGACTGTGAACCTTACAGTCACAACAAAATGAAGTCAAACCAAAGAGACTCCCAGATGTTTGAACAATGCAGAAAGTAGACAACAGAACCTTTGCTTTTGTTGTTATCATGCTGTACATCACTCTTCATTAGCTGCTCTTCTCACCTTTTGCAAGTCAAGTTCCTATGGCAGAAATCAGTAAAGGCAAAGCATAAAGATGAGATATGGAATACACAGAAGCCGATAATCACCAAATCACTCACCAGTCTCTGCAACTCTTCCCTTACACCCTTCATCACAAGATATTCCCTGTAAAACAATAGATTAACAACACAGGGGAACCCAAAAAATCAAACAAAAGAAAAAAACATGATATGTAACTTACGTTATAGCTGATTCGCGAAATGTTACTTCACTCTTTTCAATGCTAAGCTCATATCTAGAATACAGAGCAAAGAGTGTTTCACCCACCAATCCAAAACCTGCTTCAGCCAATTGATGATCGATATTATCTAAGGAAAACTCGAATCCAAATACTTCTGGGGCATATTTACGGACTTTTTCCAAAGCTGTCTCCATTGACCATGCCTCACCAACAGGCCACTCTCTCATCAAACCAACCATTGCCACCAATATAAAAGCTGAATTAATCAGGTCCTTGGCCTCAACCATTTGTATAAAACATTTCAGCAGCTCTTTTTTTTTACCCAGAATCTGAGTGCTTAACTCCTCAATTTTTATCCTTAAAGCACCCTCTCTGAAATCACCCCGTGTCTCAGGCTAAGATCTATCATAAACAAAATCTATCAAATCATCATGCTCCCGATTACCTTCATCAACTGGAACAGGATTCTCCTTTGAACGTCTCGTGTCACGATAACCCTTATTTTGAACACAATCGCGTACAACATTTTTCACATTAGCCCTCTTGCCTACGCCCAAATCCAGCCGTTGTCTATTGGTCCTCTGTGAAGCACGTGCTCTCTTAGCCCCATGTTGAGCAGCATCATCATGATGATCATCTCCAGTAGCATCATTGTGGTTTCTAGAGTTGTCTTGAGATTCATGAGGCTCATCATTCATTGCACAGTTGCCATGGTTTTCATTCATTGTTCGGTTGTGAGTACTAGAATTCTCTCTAGAACCAATGGTGTGAAGTGCATCACTTCCCACATTTTCTATATTGTCCACATTTTCTATATTGTCCACATTTTCTATATTGTCCAAATCCAGCCGTTGTCTATTGGTCCTCTGTGAAGCACGTGCTCTCTTAGCCCCATGTTGAGCAGCAGCATCATGATGATCATCTCCAGTAGCATCGTTGTGGTTTTCTGTTCTAGCGTCAGTACGTCCAGTACTAGAGTTGTCTTGAGATTCATGAGGCTCATCATTCATTGCACGGCTGCCATGGTTTTCATTCATTGTTCGGTTGTGAGTACTAGAATTCTCTCTAGAACCAATGGTGTGAAGTGCATCACTTCCCACATTTTCTATATTGTCCACATTTTCTATATTGTCCAAATCCAGCCGTTGTCTATTGGTCCTCTTGAAGCACGTTCTCTCTTAGCCCCATGTTGAGCATCATCATCATGATGATCATCTCCAGTACCACCCTTGTGGTTTTCTGTTCTAGCTTCATCACTTCCCACATTTTCTCTATTGTCCTCAAACATATCATTTGACAGAATTAACTTTTGTCTCCTATGTCGCTGCTTCCTTGCTCGAAATTCAGTACCATTAGCATTATTATTCTCTGAATAATTTGAGGGAGTTGATTGATGTCTTAGCTGTCGCTGCCTGCAAAAGGAAAGAAATCGTAATAGAGGAGAAAAATGCAGTTAAAAGTTCGTACAAGAATTGTTAGTCCGAATTTTGTAAATGCATCTACAAAAGTGTTTTGTTATCACCAATTTCAACATCAATCTAATCAAAACAATGTAAATTGAACGTACAACTAGACTGCCTATTAATAAAAATGCCTGTTCAACCTTTTCCTCACCACCTTAGCAATATAGCGCCCTTTATTGTTGACCCCTGTAAGAACATAATCTACATTAGTGTCTTTAGAGTATAACAACAAAATGCAAAAATCAAGAAAGTCAAAATAGTACCTAATCGCTTACGGACATCAAACGCTTTAAGTATGATGTTAACACGTCTACTAAAATCTTGCTTCTTTCACCGTGGAACACGAGTATCCTCCCGATTGATTGGTCGCAGATTAGTTAGGAGCTTTTTCCTAACAGCTTCGCTCATCTCCACTTCTTCAAATCCTTCTTCTACCTCCATCACTTATGAAGCGAAAAAGATACTGAAAGGAATTATTAGACTGGCATGATATCCAATTTGTGCATGCCATTCGCTAATACTACAAATCATAGGCCAGATTCAACTCATCAAGTATCAAGGTTATTGAATCATAAACTGAAACTTTTATGTAGCCAGAAATAAACATCGAAAACCGTTTAGAGATTAAAGTCAAAATTAAAACTATGAATCATGAATTTTGATCAATTACTTAAACAATCTCATCGATTATAATCAAAATCAGTTTAAAGATCAATCTAAATCGGTTCAAAGATTAAAATCAAAACCAAAACTATCAATCATGAATTTCGAACAAATACATAAACAACATGAATTCCAATCAATCATGAATTTCGAACAAATACAAAAACAACATGAATTCCGATCAATCATGAATTTCGAACAAATACATAAACAACATGAATTCCTATGAATGACATGAGCATCGAAATCGGTTTAAAGATTAAAATCAAAATCATGAGCTTTGATCAATTACATAAACAATCTCATCGATAATAAATCATACGGAGTACAAACAGTTTAACCGATTTAATCAACGATTAGGTCAAAAGTAATTCAAGAGAACAGAGCGAAGATCAACATGACAACGAGTAGGTCGAAAGCATTTCAAGAGAATAGAACTAAGAAACATCATAAGGTCGTAAGAATTTCGAGAGATTGGAGTGAAGATCAACATACCTGAGCTGAGAGCAATCTGGTTTGAAGCGGGGTGTGCGTGCTCTTGCTTGGGACTTTGTGAATACGGATAGGGAAAGAAATACTTTTTGGGGGTTGCTCCGGGAGCGAGGAGACGTGTCACATTCTGAGCTAGTTACCTGACATAAAATTGAAATATACGGATTAATGAGCACGAGAGAATTTGTTGGATTTTACTCCCTTCATCCTCAAATATTCCCTAACTTGAGCAGGAGTAACTTGCAACTTTTTTTCTATTTTTATTGAATATTTAATAAAATAAAATATTTTTGTTACCTTATTTTTATAAAATTTTTGGTGTAATTTTTTAATTTATAAATTTTATTTATTATTGATTTATCAATTTGTAAATAAATTGATTTAAAAAAAAAAAAATTCTAATAACTCCCAATTTGTAATCAAATTATGAACGGATAAAATATTATTTTACAAGCGGTGTCCAATTTTGAAACCGATTGCGGATTTGAACTCAGAAATATAAATGAAATCTTATGACATATTCAAAATATCTTTCATAGTATTTTTATTTTTCAGGCCTTTGAAAAAATAAATAGAATCTAACTCGGGAAAAATATATTTTAGATCGATTTTTATGGTGTTACAAATTGCATGTGTACTATTTATTGAATGGGGTCCGTTCCCACGCCATTGTCCGGCAATGTCATGTAATGATCTGGGAGTGTTCTGATATTTCGTTTGTAAAATTGACGATTCCTACTCATCTAATCTTTCTCCCCTCCTCCCCTTCAATTGCACCTCCCAAGTTAATTCTGACTTTAAGGTCAAAATTTGACTTCAATATCAAAATTAACTTGGAATGGAGTGTATTCGAATTAGGATTGAGAGTTTACCCGGTTGTTAGGGAGGCTAACCAAGACTTCAAAAAGTTAAATTCGCATTTATTGCTTATTTCAAACAGCTATTTCAAATTTTCAATGTTCCTATTTTAGTAATGGAAAAACTTTGCTTAAACAAACAGTTAGTGGAACTGTTTAAGTTATGTCCTCAATACAGAGTAACATTTTTTAAACGGTTATTTGTATTCTAAATTTTATACTCCACTTTGTACTTCATAGATTTACACCAACGGATATCCCTAATTTTTGTTAATGTACTAACATTATGTCCGTGTAAATTTTTATTAACGCGCCAACACTTCTGTCAGTGTAAATCATCAAAATGTATGTATATAACTGCGGTGTACAAATGAGATATAAATTTTTCTGTAAATGTATTGTCCTAAATAACATTTTTTACTTTACCCTTTTACATTTTTACTCTTGAATCTAGCATTTAGTGCAGTTTAGGGATGTAAATGAATCGAATATTTTTTGTTCGATTCGTGATTCGTATTCGTTTAAGGTGATTTGTATTCGATTTTTTCAAATCTGAATACGAATACGAATCTGAATAAATATTTGAATCCTTATCGAATACGAATACGAATCAAGGATATTCAATTCGTGAGTTTGACAAATATATTCGGAATATAAATCTAATTATACAAATTGTGTGTGTGTATATACATACATACATACATGCATACATACTTTTTTTAAGCAGAAGAAATGATTTTATTAATGAAAACGAAACGAAGGTACAATTTCTTGAGCAAGTGCAGCTCTAACTCTAGTAGGACAAGAACTAAGATAAGGATAGATAATAAAAGAATCAGTCTTGTGCCTATCCTCCTTTGCTAAAAGATCAGCCGGCTAATTTCCTTCCCGAAGCACATGTGAAATCCAAACTCCATTGTCAGAGATAAGGCGTGAGAGAATGTCAATAGGGAAAGGAGAGGCAGCAAGGTGAGTAGATTTAGAGATCCTCCGAATCACCTCCAAAGCATCTGTTTCAAAAATGATTTCTTTTTGAAAAGAAAACACCCATGTAATAGCTTGAATTGCTGCAAGAACCTCAGCTTGGAAGGAAGAGTTGCATGAGAGGCGAAATGAAGCTGCACAGACAAACGAACCCTCTTCATTGCGTAGTATACCAACTCCTCTTTGGCAGTTGGGTGTAAAAGAGGCATCAACATTAAGCTTAAGCCTACCCTTTGGTGGTGCAAGCCATTTAACAATACGCACTTTAGCCTCCGTTTTGAAAATTGGTAAAAGATGCATATTGGTGAGCCACACATCCTTAACCCGAAGCTTCTTTGGAGCTTTGATGGCAACCCATTGATAGATATAACGAGAGATAGTATTAATCAAACCATCAGTGTTAAGCTTAGAAATCTCACCATGGATGATGGCATTCAGGTGCTTCCAAATATGCCAACAAATGATGGATGGTGTGTGTTTCCTAAGAAAGCCATGGATGGTGTTATTACCCCTTAACCACCAATTCATGAAGTGCTGATTGACTGAAGAAGAATGGAGATGAGGGAAGCCAAAGCACATAGAAAAATGTCTCCAAACAATACCAATCTCAGGACAGTCTACAAGGGTGTGTTTAATAGTAAAAGAAGATGCTTTGCAAAAAGAGCACATAGAAGGCAGTTGGAAACCCAGTTTCTGCAGATTTTCAGGTGTAGGAAGACAACCATTAAGTAACTTCCACATAAAGATGCTAATTTTGGGGTTTTGAGGAGACTCCCAAATCAATTTGAAGGACACAGTAGGATTAGCCGTAGCCCTACAGTGAGCATATGCACACACATACATACATACATACATACATACATACATACATACATACATACATACATACATACATACATACATACATACATACATACATACATACATACATACATACATACATACATACATATATATATATATATATATGGATTGACTCCAGTCAGATGACATCTTTCGGTCAGATGACACTTTTGGTCAGATGACATGCTTCAGAATGAGCACCACCTTGTTTGAGAATGAACACCACCTTATTTCAGAATGAACACTACACTGAGCAGAGTGTGAATGAGTACTAGCTTGTTTCAGAATGAGTACTACGTTTATAATGAACAAATGTGTGAAAGTCAAGCCTACGATGTCTTAGAATGAACACTACGTGGATTCAAAATGACCCTATGTTGTCGTCTCGCTGGCTATGAATGAACACTACATTGTGATGAACAGTTGTGTGAGAATGAATCCTACGTTGTTTAAGAATGAGCCCTACATTGATTCAGAATGAGCATTCGTTGTCATCTGACCGAAAGTGTCATTTGACCGAAACATGTCATCTGACTGGAGTCAATCATATATATGTGTGTGTGTGTGTGTGTGTGTGTGTGTGTGTGTGTGTGTGTGTATCTATATATATATGTATGTATATTAAAAGGTTTTAAAATATTTTAAAATCTAAATGAACTGAATATTTTTAAACGAATCGAATATATTTAAACGAACCGAATATTTAAACAAACCGAATATGTTTAATATATTAAACGAACTGAATACGAATCTTAAAAAATATTCGAACCGAATTCGAATTGGAATTCGAATATCACTCCATCTTAACGAATATGAATATTTTTCATGAATATTCGATTCGATTTGATTCGTTTACAACCCTAGTGCAGCTGAGATTTGCAAACACTACCCGTTTAACTCACTTAAATAATTAGTTTTTTATTCAAACAACAAAAGTAAAACCTACTTTTCTTTAATGATTTTATTGTCAAAAATGTACGCTAGCTTGGAACACATAATATCTCAATTACTTCCGCATCGTTCCGTTCAACTTATTTTTCCTTATTTTTTTTATTCTTATTAAAATCAGATCAGATCAGATCAGACCAGACCAGATCAAATCAGATCAGATCAAATCAAATCAGATCAAATCAGATCAGATTCCATGAAGAATTATTATTATTATTACTATTATTATTATTATCATCATCATCATCATCATCATCATCATCATCCTTATCATTATTATTCTTAAAAATGAAAAAGAATAAAATTTAGAAACAAGTTAAATAGAAACTGAGAAAATAATCCTTAATTATTAGACGTCGAAAAAAGTATTTTTAAAATACATTGACAATGTCAATCTAATTCTACTTTTAAAATATATTTTTATTGCTACTTGTAATTTGAGTTTTTAAAATTTTGATCTTTTATAAAGATGAGATATTTTAATAAAAATCTTTTATATCAGATCCAATCAAATCAAATCAGATCAAATCAGATCAGATCATATTAAATCAGATCCAATCATATCAGATCAGAACTTATCAAAATCAGATCAGATCAGAAAAAATAAGTTGAACGGAACGGAGCCTTAGTTAAGTTATTAACCATCGAAGGTAGAGAGCATGATTTTGATGAAAATTAATTTCCGTTAAATTTCAAATGCCCAATTAAAGCTTATAGCTCGCAGAATAATGGCTCATGATACAATCTAGATGCTATCAATGATGAATATTCAAGTGCTAATAATGATTTATGTGGTGAAATTTGTATTAAATAAGACTAAAACATAATGACTTTCCTAATCTAGGACTTAAACTTTTTTATTTTCTAAATAGTACGGAATACTTTTTTATTAATGCATTTGCTCGTCTCCTGGACGAGGCAGGTGTCATTTGGATTTTCGGTGATAAAGTCCATCTTCACTCTGATCTGGTACACACTCACACACTCTCTCTCTCTTTCATCTTCACCAATTCCATGGTGTATTAACAATTATGTATGAAAAGTGATGAGTTGCCACATCCTTGCCATAATTGCCTTGTTTATCCCATTCAGATAGACATGTAATGAACAACGCTTTCACATAATATGGTTCGAAAGTGCAGAGTGCAGTTATTCAAGCTTGTCTTGAATCTATTTTGAATCCAGCTTGAGCCCGACTTGTTAAGGTTTTGATCTCGGGACTGAGATCGAACCCGACTTGATTCATGCTTGATGTTGAATCTTGTCAAGTGTCGCCCTTTACCAGGAATATAATATGTATGTAAATGATCTTCCTATTATATAAATTCCAGAGTACCTTTGGACTTAAAGTAAGGCCAATGATGTTCACATTCCTTCCGTCGACACAAGAGTTGGAGTAGAAAACACAAGGATGTTCATTTTCAGGCAAATCCAATTACATTCTGAGATGAAGCCATTCCCTATCCATGGAGTAAAATATGTATTGTCTTTCATTATTCATCTATTCTTCTTCAAATTGTAAAATAAAATGTGAGACACCAATGCACTTGATTCTGCTCATAAATTCCCTTTCATTACTCAATTGCGTTGTTAGCTTCATTCCTTATATAAATGCTAAATTGTATTGTGAGAAAATACTAGGCACTTTTGACAATAAGTGCAATATCTTGGGCACTAAATGCACGAAGTGCATTTCTAAGCTAGTTATTTTTATAAGTTCATAAAATATGTATCCAAGATATTAATTGAGTTACTCTTAATAATTCGGAGTTTTAGTGAAATCAACACAGTCCATATATACTTCTATGTGACTTCATTAACAACAATTTTAATTCGTAATTCATGTGGATGAAGAATCTTCTAAGACGCCAAAGATCCAGGTTTGAAACCCACGTACACCACAAAATATTACTACTCCATCTGTCCTAAATTATTTGCCATATTTGCTTTTTTAACAGTCGCGTGAACTTTTGTTTATTTCTATGTTTTCATTGGTTATTTGATAAAATAAAATAATATTCTTGACACCTCTTACTTTGAAGAACTTTTCATGTAGTTTTTTGATATGTAATTTTTATTTTTTATTTCTTTACCAATATGTAAATAAAATGAATTGGAAAAATTTAATATTTCATCTCGGTAATAGAAATGTGACAAATAATTTAAGACGGATGGAGTAATACAGAGTACATTTTATGATTTTTTTATATACATGTAATGATGATGATGATGATAAAGTTGGGCCCTCTAAAATATTGGTAGGTATGGTAGGACAGCTCGGCCTATGTAAATAACACTCCCCCGTCTCAAAAAAGTCGTTGCGCTTCATTTCTTTGCGCATCACAAAAAGCAATGCTACTCACATCTAAAATTTCTAAAATTTACCATATTTACTCTTTATTATAAGATGAAATTGTTTTGAAAGTTTTTTTGGCATTTGAGACCGCAAAGAAATGAAACGTAACGATCTTTTTGGGACGGAGGGAGTATAATACTGCCTTCGTCCATCTAAGTTTTTTCCGTTACGCGTTATCAGGCTTGATTGATTTTATTTTCAATTCAATTTAACTAATTATAGGAGTAAAATTTTAAAATAAAATTTATATAGTAATAAACTACATAAAAAGTTCTATAAAACTAGAGGTGACAAGACTATATTATTTTACGAAATAACTAGTAAAAATTAGCAAACAAAGTGAGTAAAGTTTGAACTTGTGAATAGTGTTTGGGAAGATCTATGGTGGGGAGAGTGAGTAATAAAAATACGTATTTTTTAAATTTTAAATGTTAAGTGTTGTGATAAATTTATGTTTTTAAATCTTCCATCCTTTATGTTTTAAATCTTCCATCATTGACAGCAAAAAAAAAAAAGTTCTCCAATTTTGAGCATCGTCAGTATTTTAGCAAAATCTTTTTGAAGAAATTTGAGGAGATTTGTCAAGGATCATGCTAGGGTGCCACCAAATGGGTGCTACCATGGGTGCACCCATGCTTCGTACAGACAATAATTGTCTGTGTAGACAATTATCGTCTGTGTTTGTCTGTGCGAAGCATGAGTGCACCCATGGTAGTACACATGTGGTGGCACTTTAGCTTTTCCATTTATCAAATCATCTAATTTAACATGTCAAACAGGCAAATGCAAAATGGTACTACTCCGTACTACATCTACATCAAGAAGTCAAATGGAACGCTACGTGTGCACTCACGGATTGGATTCTCAAATTACGGTGTGGGGTACCATTTCGTTATATCGCTTAAAGTTAAAACAAAAGAAAAATCGTGGTTGGGAAGGTTAGAGTTGCAAAAGCCATTGGGAGTTTTGTTTTATACATTGGATAAATTCGTTGTCAGAGTAGTAATCACATTATTATTCGCATAGTAAATATTAATTCTTATAGAAAAAGATTAAAGAACGAATAAAATAATAGGCTGCAGAACGACTTAGTTATTTAAAAACTGATATGACCAGAATTAAACGGGGATCTATAGCTCGGGCACGCCGAACCAAAATACGTTTTTTTGCATCAAAATTCCGAGGGTCGCATTCAAGACTTACTCGAAGTATTATTCAGCAAGGAATAAGAGCTTTTGTTTCCTCTCAGCGGGATAGAGATAAAAAAAAGAGAGGGGACATCTTTTTGTTAGTTAAAAATTAGTAACTCCGTCTTGAAGTATTTGTCCAGTTTTGATTTTTGGAATTGTTCATCTAAGTACTTTGACTCATCAAATTCTCTCAATGTGTAAGTCTAAATATAGTCATGTGTGATCTTATTTGATTTGTCTTAACATATAGATTATTAATATATAATTTCTATAATTTTTTAATATACAAATTACAAGATAAAATGGATTAAAGAAGTGTATTGGATAGTGTGTAAAAACGAAAGTGGACAAATACTCTTGGACGGAGGGAGTAAATTTTTTTGGTTACAATACTCAAAGTTTAGGTCTCTCAAGTCCCAAATAAAAAAAAGTCATGAAAGACTATAATAAAAAGGTGATCATCAATTTAAAGTAAACCTGTGTATAGAAGCCACTACCAAGAAACGAAGGAAAAAAGAATAATCGAAGCCTACTTCAAGGAGATACATATATTCCGTATGAATCAAAATTCTACCAAGGAAAAAAGAACTAGAGAAATATTGAAGACTATTTCAAGTCTTAAGGTTCGAAATTATTCCGGATAAATTAAAATTTGGTGGCAGGATGAATTTCTTTTAAGCACGTGAGGCGTGGAATATTTTAGGAGCATGAGCACAAAAAATGGAATGTCACACGTTGACGTAAAACATTTCAACCTATAGAAAATAGTCCAGTCATCGTGTGGCAAGAGCGTGGAGTGGCATGCATTACAGTGGCAAGTCATTATCTTTGTCACTTGTTTACATTTTTATGTATTTAATTGTTACTATTTATTTTATTTAATATTTTTATAAAAATAATTATACTTTGTTTATACTCTCTCCGTTCCCAAAAATGTCGTAGTTACTACGGAGTATTTAGATTTTTTATTACATTTTTTGTGCTTCTCTTTTTCATGGTATATTTAATAAAATAAATTATTCTTATCGCTGCTTAATTAGTAAAAATTTTAAAATGGTGAAAAGTTAAATTAAAAAAAATTAATATATTGTTGCATTGGCCGAATGGAGTAAAGTTACTCCATCGTCCCCAAAAAAACCTCTTTCAAACAACTTGTAAAAGATCAACTCTTTTAAATTGTTATTATTTGCAAATTGACAAGAAAATAAAGAGTATAAATTATATATTTTATCCAAAGTTTTTTTAAAATAATTGTTAAAAAAATATTTTATTTTACCAATTGAACCATGAAAAAAACATACACAAACAAAAGTTATTTTAACGCCAAAATATACCAATTTTTAGGTATAATGCCTTCAAAAAAGTTTCTTTCTATTAGACCAAACAAATCAAGAAAAAGAAAAAGAAAAAAAGAGAAAAAAAAGGCAATGTGCCTTGCATATGCCATGGAAAGAAAGTGACTCGGGAAGGGTATATCATGCTTACGAAGGCAAAAATATGACGTGACAAGGCGTGGGAGGTCAAGTGACGCCACTGGTATTTGTATTAGTACGTTACATGCAATCTAATATTGGTTGGTTATGGTGGGTGAGTTGGTCTATTGCCGCATTTTCTACTTTGGGGTAGCATACCGCATTCGTTCGAGCCCCATAATGTTGGTTAAGGAAGCTTATACCGGAGTATATTTTATTTTTCACCCCTTATTGGAGTCTTCCCTTTTTTTATGAAAAATCTTATGGATTGTTTTCCTAATTTATAATTTATCTACCTTTTACTCATGAATTTTTTTATTTGTTCTCATGGAAAAGTGTTATGGTTTATATTGGAACAATTAAAAAAAAAATATTTCTTCATTCCTAAAAAATTGATTTCTTTGATAATATTTGTTCTTGTATTTGTAGATTAACTATTTTTATTTCATTGAAAAAATGACATCACTCATTATTTCTGGGTCTTCCTTTGCCGGTACTTACACTCAACCACAAGTACTTAATGAAAAAGTGACCATCAGATCAATTTAAAGTAAATCTGTGTATAGAAGTTACCACCAAGAAGTGAAGAAAAAGAAAAGTATCGATGTCTACTTCAAGGCAATACATATATTTCGTATGGATCAAAATTCTACCAAGATCACGAAAGGGTGGAAATTCTGCCTCCACAAGCTCGATATCATCATCACATTTGCCCATTCTCAAAAAATACCTGGGATGAGATATGGCTGTCTGAAGTAGGAAGGCATCACTGATTAATTTTCGTATTTCTTTTCATTATTATTTATTTTCCATAGTAAAAAAGAATGAGTAGCACCCAAACATTGTATTCACTTAACCAACAAGGGATTAGTTTAGCAGAAAATGACTACAATGACCATGACCTTTACATGTATCTATCCCTCTCAAAATGTCACTATTCAAGTAAAGATGTGCAAATGTTGAAGGTGTGTTTGATCTATAACTTTTCCCTTTTGAATGGGTGGTTTGATTTTTTGAAAAATAAAATGTAAATTATTGGTCAGTCGATTCAGTTTCATACGGTTCAATTATCACTTTTTTGGCTTTTATAAATGCCTAATATTAAAAGTAAAAATAATGTTTCTAAAATATGCAACTGCAAAGATTAAAAACCAACCATGGATAAATCTGTCACGCCAAGTTATCAACATCATTAGAGCTAATTGCCTCAAAAAAAGACTGAGGGGGGCTCATGAAAGTTGTTCCGACAATAAGGATAGACAAGATAAGCATTGCGTATGTTACTTATTTTTTGGAACGTTCATAAAAGGAAAGTCTAAAAGTTGTTTTTGTGACAGGAGTATTACAAATCAAAACCAAAACCATATCAGCCCTTTAAATGGAGTCACGACAATGTTACAACCCAAAATAGATTCTAATCTTGAATCAGAAAATCTATTTACGTGAGCAATCCAAACAACACCAAAAAGACTAGAAAAGGAAGAAGATGGATCAACGTTCTCAAGGACTCGTAATAGTTCTGGGAAGGAGGCTCAGAAGAAACGACGAGAAGGACCAAAGGCAAGCCAAGCCTAACACTTGGAAGGTCACAATGAGGGAAACCAATGCGCCGTTTCTTTGAAGAAGAATCTCCGGCGTCATGGTAAGTTTTTGAGTGCCAAACATTATGCTCTGAACAAATCCAATAGCTCTCGTCAACTGGTAGAACCTATAAACCTGCATGCATTAACCAAACTGCCTTTTATGGTCCCTTTGAAAAAGGCTAATCAAATCTGTATTTTTCAAGGCAAAGCCAAACATAAAGAGATTATTAATTCGAAAACCATACCTCAAAAATAATAGGGACTAGAGGCCAACAAGATGATTTGCAGTTTTGAAGATGCTTCTCATATGCAAATTGAACAAGAAGTCCAAACATGAAAGGAGCCACGGCAAGCAAGGCTGTTTTGCCAAGAGCTGGCCAGGTGATATATAGAGCGATAAGTGGAACCAGAGCCTTAAAACCAACTATAAACAAGGCACAATTTGAGTAGCCTCGAAGACCGGTTATCAGACTCCACCTTTTTGCACCAGACTCCAGGTATGGCTTCTGAACCTCTCCTGTTATCGAAAGATATATTCCCACTCCAATGTAGAAGATGGCCTCAGTGATGTACCAAGTCAAGGCTTCTGCATTGGCCGACATCAACCACAACCTCAGTATGAGAAATTAACAGAGTTGTCTCTGGGTCTGGGCGAATTAGGCATGGCCTAGGGCCCATGAATTTTTAGGAGCCCGAGTTTTTTAAAGCATGTCATATATTGATACATGTAAGGCAAGGGTCTTAAGTTCAAAAGTCTATTTTCATTCAAATTCAAAAGGCTTAGTACTAATTTGCTGCCTAAGACCTCCAAAAAATTTAGAAACGATGCTGGAAAGTAACTATACATACATATAATCATATGTGTTTGTTAATACCACAACTAGAAGCATATTTTTTAAAAAAACAGGTTGGATTGCATTTTAGTTTGCCAACAATCCTTTCCTACTTGAGAGAATTACCTCCAAACATCAGCTAAAAAAGGAAAAATGATAAATTTGCGAAGAGAATCAGTCATAATACCTGTCAAAACATCATTGCGAAGACCATCAATGGTGATATCGATAAAAAACCGGGGAAGCACAAAAGAAGATATTAATGCAACAGGTGCAATAACCCATCGAAAAGATCCAGTTTTCCCCGCAAGCTGAGCATCCTCTGGTTTTCTTGCTTCAACCAATTGGTGAGTCACCCCGACGAAAGAAACCGAGCCAGGTTTACCCTGAAATGGTTCCAATCTGCTGGTGTCATGAGCAGTCACAGTGTTGTCCTCACTTCCAGAGGAGCTCAACTTCTTGGACAATGAGCTTGAACTAGAAATGGACACTATTGGCCTATCACTCACCCTAAAACCCACTGCAATTGAAAAAATTACATACAAGTAAATATCAATCACACAAAATAAAAACATTCATTCCAACATCAAGTGTCCATTGGGAAATTGGAATCAAACTTTAGATGTTCCTCAAAGTACATCTCAACTCGGGGCGAAGGAGAAGGGTTTGCTTCCTCAATCTCACATTGCTCTTAGAATGTCTCCCAACTGAAGGCCAAAGAGAAGCCTGCAATGCAAACCAGCGTTGAACAGATAAGTCGAGACAGATAAACAAAATGAAAGGATTGAGAGATGAGATCGAGTATAAATGCTCACGATGCGACACAGAAAAGGGGGGAATTTCGGGGCAAACAGTCGATTGGGAAGGAAAGAGGGGGGAGGACATTGCAGCTCCATTTGCGCGCGCTTTCCGGGTTATTGGCGGCGGCTTCTTGCCTGAACCCTAGCTGCCGAGAAAGCAAAAGCTTATGCGGGGGTTTCCAGCTTATATTTGGTCAATTATAAACTACTCGGGTATCATACTCCTTTATCCCTGTTTTCATTATAAATTAGAAATTGCGTGGTAAAATTTTATGATTTTTAAAATTATTTTATTCGTAAATTATTACATCAACAAAAAATAAAAATTATAAACTAAAAAATTATATCAAAAGTTCTATAAAATAAGAGATGACAATAATATTTTATTTTATCTAATAATCAATGAAAGCACACAAATAAACAAAAGTTATGCAGAGAAAATAAAATTGTAATCAAAATTGGGACAGAGGAAGTACGTGTTTTTCGTACATCATCATGAATACTCATTTTCGAGTAAGGGAAGAGTAACTGATTATTCATTTTAGAGTAGCAGAATATCCTTTTTTGTGTATTATTATACCTATTTTCGAGCATAACGTACTAAATTTTAAAAAATTTAGTATTCTGTTATTCGAAAATAAATATTCAACTAGTCACAAATGAGTACTCTCTGTGGATGTACGAGAAATATCATACAACTAGTTGTACGGTGTATATTGCGGTTAATTACGAAGTAACTTTTTACTCTGTCAATTACTTGATAATTTGTTCAATATTTTGGATCAAATAAGGATAATCTAAGAAGTATATATTTATTTAACCTTTTCTCCATATGTATTTAATACTAGTACATGTTTAATACTTTCTCCGTCCATAAATGTTTATCACATTTTTAAAAATGAGACAAGATATCAATTTTTTTATTCATTTTATTTAAATATAGGTATAGAAATAACAAACAAAATTTACATATTTAAAAACAACGTGAAAAATTCTTTAAAATAAGAGATATCGAGATTATTTTATTTTATCAAAATAACCAATGAAAACGTACAAATAAATAAAAGTTCCTGTAACTGTTGAAAAATAAATGTGAGAAACATTTTGAGATAGGGAAAATATTTATTTGTTGTGTTTTATTTTAGTTGGATTTGTTTGATTTTTACTTTAACGCTACATTTGGTTTGAGGAATCAAGAAAAGAAAAAGAAATAGAAGGAAAATATGTGTCCATTCTTCTTTTTTATTAATCCTTTTCATTTTGTTTTCATTTTTAACCAGAGAAAAAAGGTTTTTTCCACCACAAAATATATCATTTTTTAGTCTTTTCCTTTGCAAGTTCTTTGTCCAAACATAGCATTGTACTTTGAGCGAGTAAATTAAATGGAAAGCTGAGCTAAAAAACAGTAAAACGAGTTTAAATTAACCAAATAATCAATGATTAAATTTGAAGAGGCTTAAAAATTATTCAAAGATCAAGTTTTTGGGGGAAAAAAATTAGACAACGAATTAACCATTTAGAAATTGATCTGATTGAGTTAGAATTGGAATTAGTCAAGCCGGATTCGATTGTCCATAAAAACTGGTGCATTACTTCTTTGGAAAGAACGAACATTATATTTTTAAACAATGTTGATGGTTTAGATATGTTTTTTTTAAATAGAGACAAATGGTTAAAATGCTAATATAAAATAAAAGAGAAATTTGATTATATACTCCGTATATAGTACTAAAACATAGTGAGTTTTTCAATATAGTACCATACGTTTTAATTTCCAATGTAGTATCATGCACTGTTCAATTCTCACTGGACATTATTCGAGTAAATGTATAGTGTCACTAAACATTATTTAATGTAAATATCTACCGTCACTGAACAGTGTGCAAGTACTATTTAGATAATAAAAAGTTTTAGGTACTAAATTGAAGAAAGAGATACAAATTTTAGTACTCTCTCCGTTCTAATTTTGATTATAACTTTCTTTCTCTATCCTCTCGATAACTTTTATTTATTTGTGTATTTTCATTGATTATTTGATAACCTAAAATATTATCACATATTATTTTGTAGAATTTTTTATGTAACTTTTTAATACTTCGTATAGAATTTTTAATTTTTTTAGCGATATACCAATTTGTAGATAAAATGAAGTCAAAAGATGCAAAATTTTGTCTCGTAAATTTTAATTTGTACGGAGTAATCAAAATTGAAACGGAAGTACAAGTTTCACTAAAATAAAACTATATGAAAAAGCATTTTCACAATACTAAAGTTAAATTATAAAAAATGAGACACGTATGGCATATGCTCATATCATTGAACCAAATCATACACGATACATATAGCACATGCAGCTGCACTCGCACTAATATTAGTATTTCACCTCTAACAAATTCAAGGACGGTCCAATCATTTTGGAAGCCTTCTAGCTTTAATTGAAGCTTTATTTCACTCCAAATCACTAATAAATTGCGTTCGAAAGGTAAGTTAAATATCGTAAACCAAAACATGTGATTTAATCTGAAATGGACACAATACTTCATAATTGAGAGTGAAGCAATTTCAATACCAAATTCAGGGACTGTTTGGCAACTTCTGAATGGGTAAGTGCTGAACCAGTAAGAGGTCTGAATCATTAAGTGCTGAACCAGTAAGAGGTCTGAACCATTAAGAGCTAGTATATTGCTTAACTATTCAGAGGCAAATGTCTGATCAATTCAGATAACAGCTCTTAACCATTCAGACTCTGTATAATACTTAACCATTCAGAGGCAAATCTCTTAACCATTCAGACATCTGAACCATTAAGAGGCTGAAACAAACAGCCCATCAATCTCACCACTAGAATTTCGTGTGGTAACTTCAAACGTTACCGGCAGACTCGACTCCACTACTAATTACCGGCAGAATTTCCCCCACTAGAAATAAGGGAGAGATTACCGGTGGTTTTATCAGCCACCAAGACAAAATTCAGTTTATGATCATACTCCCTCCTTCCCAAATTATTTGCCACATTTGTATTCCCGAGGCAAAATATCAAGTTTTTTCAATTCATTTTATTTACATATTGGTAAAAAAATAAAAAATAAAATTTATATATAAAAAAACTACATGAAAATTTCTTCGAAATAAGAGAAGTCAAGAATATTTTATTTTATCAAATAATCAATGAAAACATCGAAATAAATAAAAGTTCCCGATACTGCTAAAAAAGCAAATGTTGTGAATATTTAGGGACGGAAGAAATATCTAATAAGGATGGGAAAAATAAATAGTCCGTACGAGAAAAGCTGGATCAAAAGCTAAGAAGTGACTAGCTCGTTTAGTTACTAAAAAGGGTTGACTCTGTGTATGTAATTCACGGCGTACAAATTTTAAAATCTCTTTAGTAGTAGCCCACTAATTATTTCGTTATATGGACCCCCGGCCCACTCACACATGGAGGAGTTTGAGCAATTCCCACGCCCACGACGTACATATCCGGTATCCCATTTTCCTAGTGCTATACGGAATTATTGGGACCCGTTCAAGTTCGTCTCTCTAGTAAGGCCTATAACAGCAAATCGATCCGTCAAGTTGGGTTTAGATTCGATCTCTTTGAATTTAAGTTACTTCAAATTTGGGTCAATTTCGATTCAGATTGAAAATCATATGTTAATGACATAGTATCATCGGGTCCAGGTCGACCTAACGATTTATGATTTTGGATTTAAAATTTTTAAATTCATATTAACATGTGCATTTTGCATTGAATAAATTTAAAATTATTTTATTTTAAATTTTGAAGTAATTCATATATATATAAATCAATATATAGAACTAAAAACTGCATAAGTTTTGGGGAAAAAAAGATAATTATACAATATCATTAAAAATTTGTCCGAAAATATAAATTTATACACAAAGAATGAGTAGTAAAAAAAATATAATTATAACCTTATTTTGATAACATTATATTTCATAGTAAAGTATATAATTTTGAAAATTTCTTACATTAGCGGGTCGATCAAGTCGGATTCGGATTCGGTCGGGTTTGACCCATTTTTAACATGACATTTCGGGTTCGATCAATTTCAGGTTTGGTCATCAAAAATTATTCAAAACTCAGTGTTTTCATGTCGGTTTCAAGTCAAAAATAAGTCGAGTTATTTTTTGTTAGGTCTGGTATGACCTATTTATTTCCTTTTTATTCCTTCATAATTCTTGAATGCTACATATTGTTAATACTTTCTCCCTCCTAAAACATTCTTCCCATTTTTGTTTAATGACGTTTGATCGACATTATTTTCAATTTAGTTTACTTGATTGTAGATATAGAATCAAAAATCAATTTTATATATTTAAAAAACTGCATAAAAAATTATACTCCCTCCGTTTGGAAAAAGTGTTCTTCTTTTGACTTTGTGTAAAAATAAGGAAGTATTAAATTGTGGTTGACTTCCAATTTTGCTCTTGATGTGATAGGTAAAAGTAAGATGTGATGGATAGATTATTAGAGATAAAGTATGATGTGATAGGTAGGGTATGAAAAAGTAAGGGTAAAAGTGGTTTTTTAATAGAAAGTGGAAGTGTTTTGTTGGAAGGGAAAAAAATGAAAGAGGAAGTGTTTTTGATAACGGAGGGAGTACAAAATAAGAGATGATAAGACTATTATTTTATCAAATAACTAACGAAAAATAGGTAAAGAAATTAACTAAGGTGTGACCGTGCAAATAGTAACTAAAAATTTTTTTAAGACGGATGTAGTATCATATAAAAAGTTGAATATTCACATACAAGATTTTGACATCCAATTTCAGATATATGATCGATCTTATAAGAAGACCTAAGATAATAAAAAAAGAGTGCATTTTTTAAACTTTCCTTCCCAATTACTCCCTCCGTTCCACAAAACCCTTCCGGTTTTGACTTTGGGGAAAAATAAGGAAAGTGTAATTTTGGTTGACTTTCCAATTTTGCCCCTGATGTGATGGGAAAAAGTAAGATGTGATAGTTTGGTTATTAGTAAAAAAGTATGATGTGATAGGTAGGATATGAAAAAATAGGGGTAAAAGTGGTTTTTTAATAGAAAGTTGAAGTGTTTTGTGGAAAGCAAAAAAAACAAAAGAGGAAGAGTTTCGTGGAACGGAAGGAGTATGTGTTTTCCCAAATACACCCTCAATGAACAATAGTTACCATACATATATGGTACTTCATAATTGAAGTAATTTTCCCTCGATAAGCTCAACAAACACGTACGTAGATGATACTTTCATAGTTGAGATTTTGTCCCAAAATAGTCTTCCAACAATTAAGGTGATATTATGATTATAATAACCGTTGAGAACTTTAACTAGAAAAGACTACTTTTCAAATATTTTATTGCTTATATTTTGAAAAATATCAAAATATGCTAAATTTAGTAGTCAATTAAACTTTGAAGGATGTTTTTTGGAGGACTACCAAAAAAATAAATTTAAATTATAAAATATCACGTAAATAATTATTGCTCATTGAATATTAATTTAAAAAAATACTCTATAACAAAAGACAAATATAGGAATTCACTCATAAAATAGTTAGTTTTACATATCTCCAACTACACATTTGGTCTTTTGATGGTCTTGATTTTTTAATTAATTACAACATCAACAACAACAACAACCCAGTTGGATCCCATAACAGTAGGGTCTGAGAATTAATTACGTCCTAACTAGAAAATAAAAATATGGATGATCCAACCATAAAGTATACAGAAAAGATTTGTGAATTTACTAAAAAGGGGTACAGACACATCTTTCTTACTTTCATTCTTTTTTTATCAAATATTGATACATTTTAACCATGAATTAAACATAATCTAAATAAATAAATGATATAAATTTGATATATCAAAATTATATTCTAAGATGAACATAATTACATTGAATTTTTTTATTATAATTAAATATATTTTTCTCATAATTTGTGATCAAAAAATATTACTTCCTCCGTCCGGAAATATTCTTCCCATTTTCCTTTTTGGTTCGTCCGGAAATATTCTTCTCATTTCCTTTTTTAGTATACTTTTTAAGGCTAAATATCAATAATACCCTTCTATTTTATCACAAATCTACTTTTTTAGTATTTTTTTAATAATAAAAGGAGATTTAAAAGTTTATAGTATGTGCATTTTTGAAAATTTTACATTTTTTTTACTATTCCTTAATAAGCGTGCCAAGTCAACACGGAAAGAAAATTTCCGAACGAAGGGAATACTATTTAATTAAAAAAACAAAATAAGAAAGATTTTTTGGACAGAGAAGAGTATGTTTTAGGGACAAGATTTGTGTATGTGCACTTTTTGGTTGGTGCACAAAAATTGTTGTAAACCATCAATAATGGGTTGAGAAATTTAAAAAAAAAATCAAAATGAAATGAACAAGGAAGATGATGGGTCTCCCTTTCGCTGTTCCGAACATATTTTGTTCTCTTTATTTATTTGGGTGAGTGGAGTGGAGTGGACTTGTACCACAAAAAGCATGCACAAGGTGCAGGAACAGTGACATTTCTACATGTACAAATATACTCTCTTCCTCTTTAAAAAAATTGTCATAGTTTGATTTTTTGGTCAAATTGTAACATTTTTTGAACATGTGTTATAGAAAAAATATATTTAGTTATAATAAAATTTGATTTATATTAAAATATAGCTTTAAAATAACAAATTTTTATAATATTTAACTATTTTAAACTATATTTAGTTCATGATCGAGTATGTTAGGGTATACATATAGATGCAACGTGGGAGCGTGTGATGAAGAGGGAGGGCTTTCAGGAGATTGTTGTCGTTGATAAATAGGTTTGACAGTTAAATGGGTCTCTTCCCCACTTCACATGGACCACACTACTCCATGGCCGCCATGTGCCCTTCCAAACTTGTTCATAGTTTCTCATGTCTTTGTCACCAAGCCTTCACCTTCACTAACAATTACACTATCACAATTTCATCTTACACCTACAACCACTCCTTAAACATAGAGCTTGTTCTGTACATCTAACCTGGTTAGTTCTTATTTAATTAAAATAAGTTTTGATTTTGTCTGGTTTGATCTAATTTGATCCGAAAGTATTTTTATTTAAAGTTGCTTCTCTTGTAATTTGATATAATTTCAATAAGAATAAGTAATAAGTAATAGGAACAAATTAAAGAGAACAAACTCTTAGCGTTAGACAACTCTAAACGAGATATCAAATCATGACTTGTTCATTCACAATCTGTCATGCGGAGGTGAAAATGAGGGATTCGCCTTTTAATTTGAGTATATGTTAAAGTATCACACGTCGGAAATTTAAAAAAAAAGTAATATATAAATTATTGTGTTGAACTAAATAATTGATTGAATTTAATTTTCTAATAAAGTTTAACTCAAGTATTTTATAGCCCAATCCATTAATCATTTTCACATCCTAAATATTATCGTGTCAAGGTATCAGAGTCAAGTTAAGCCTACAAGTTTATTCCTAGCGGCCCATTTGTCTATATGTAAAAACGGCATACAACCAATATAACCCAATTATTCAGCTGGAAGTCCATACCCAACAATTCGTGACTCTTTAATTTTGCGGATGTTGGCACATTTAATCGTTTCAACAATTATTTTTGGTCTCATATTTTTAAGTTATCCTTTTTTGAAACTTTCTATATCTTATCTTTTGATTTATCATTTCAGACCACCTGAAGTCCAAATAAAATTTTATTTGTTAAACAAATTGCATTCAATTGATTGTTTTGCCCTTATCTCGCCACACCCATCAAAAAATTAATGACAAAATTGCAAAATAAACTACTTTCACGGTTCTACATCTTATACTCCTTATTAAACTTGTATAC